ACAGAGGCAAATGGTGCTAGCACATTGCTATAGCAAGATACTGAAGGAATGCATGTCAGTAAATGTGAGTAGACAGATAGGCTAGATTCCTTTTGTGGTCCGAGTCTTGCAAATGAACCTTTGATGAATAGGATGCCCTATGAACACAGAGTGGGGTCAGTCCTATGGCAAGAAATCTGATTAAGCATTTAGACATCTAGGAGCTACAAAATAAGAAAGTACTTATTATTATAGAGGCCTAACGTAAAGTCTGTACTGACATAGGAATTCCTCCAGGAATATACAGGAAGCTCAGGAATGGGTGTCCTTTAAAACAAATGAACAAAAAACACCCTTAAGATTTGTATCTGTAGAGGCTCCTAACTATTAGATGGCTTTTTCTAGCTATTAGTTGTCTTTGGTTCCCTGGGCCCGATGCTTTAAAGTTGCAGTGATCATAATATGAGTTTGGGTCTTCAGGACTGTGTGGGGAAGGTGGTGAGGGAATTGAAACAAAAACCCCCAAAAAAGTGATCTGTCGTCTTTTCTCTAGGACCCTTTGGTGAACGTGATGATCAACAGGTGTTTATCCAAAAAGTTGTTCCCATCACCAATAAGCTCTTTGTAAGGCTGTCTTCAACTGGGAAAAGGTACCTTCGTGTTAGGTTTTTAAGCGGGAAGGGAGCAGGACTCTTCAGGTGGTGGGGTCTCCCATCCCTTGGGGATGCATGCGGTTGCACTTAGTAAGTTTCTAATGTGCTTGACAGCTCTGGCTGAACTCTGGTTTGTGTGCTAGTAACAGAACTGTACTTAACGATCTAGTCTGTTACCTAGAAGCCAAATGGCATTTTGAAAAAATGTGGTATCAGAGACTCCATGATGGCTCACCTGCTGAGCTCACAAAACAAACATTTGTGTGCCTATGCAGAATCTGCACCTCTCAGCCATGGTACGATGCTAACATTAAATTGCAAAACTAATGCTGAAGTTGCTGGTGGCAGGGATTATGCTGCTCACAAACGTAGACAGGGAAGCAGCCTCTCTCTTTCTTTGCACTTGTCTTTGAAGATATTGGAACCTTTAAAACTGAGAGGCTGTCTTCTAGGTCAGCTACACAATTATTTACTTAGGCTTGACTTCATAATATTCTACTACATTGCTGCCAATGTAGTAAAAAAAGTTGCCAAATAACCACAAGCTGCTTTTCTTCCGGTTAGGCTAGGAAGATGGCAAGAGATCAGAAAAGATGGTGCATCTCAGTTCTATGCTTCTTATTAGGCAAGAGATGCAAGAATAACAACTTTGAATCTGGGTGAAAACATTCATGCCTTAACACTATAGGCATCTGAATTGAGGACAGAAGCCCTGCGGATTACTGATGTGCCTTCCCCACCCCCCCCCACCCCTTACTTCAGGCTAGATTTGTATGTAGTGGAGAGTTTTATTAGATGACTTATTTTGGCACTTCCTGGGTAAAAAGCTCAATACAAGGGGCCAGTAAAACAAATTACCCAGAATATGTGAGGTTCTGGTGTGGAGTCAGGCTTAGCAGCTTAGTTTTGGGACTCCTTTTCCTCTCACTCCCCACATAAGCTACTAAAATAAAGGGAAGAAACCAATGGAGATCTACCATGCCAAGTGATATTGCAGTTGTCATAAGACAAAAGTTATATGTATAGATAACCTTGGATTTATCGTCCTTGGATTTTTTTTGCATATCTTTTATATGGTTAAATGTGCTGTTTGTGCAGGTTAGTTTCCTGGAGCGTCTAGCATATGAAGGGACTAGTTGCTGTCATTGTTGTGAGAGCCTTAGGTTTCTAACCATTGCAAACTGAAAATAGACATCGAACGTATGGGGGTTCCCTAATAAAAATAAGTAGTGAGACTGCAGAGGGATTGGGCGGGAAGGTACTGTCTGCAGCTGAGCAGCAATGCTGGTCTTGCAGGGGAAGGAATTTCGTCTGGAAGAAAGGTCTTTTTCTGATGGCAAGTTTGGTGCCTTCTCAGAAGATGAAAACAGTACTGACTTTACTGACTAAACTCTGCCAGGTGCAATTGTTTTGGTAACTTGGGGTTTCTCTTCCTGTAGGATCTGTGAGATCCAGGCAGTTGACTGTACTACCATCTCGTCATTTACTGTGCGAGAATGTGAAGGATCCAGCAGAATGGGCTCCCGGCCACGCCGCTACCTCTTCACTGGGCATTCAAATGGCAGCATCCAGATGTGGGACCTGACCACAGCTATGGACATGGTTAATAAGAGTGAAGACAAAGGTAAGTTCTGTTGTGCCAGGACTGTGATGTCATTCTTTTTCTGTCCTCACATGTGCATGACTACGGTAAGTGGACTTGGGCACTAAGAGCTGTCTCTTTCAGACGTTGGCGGCCCCACAGAGGAAGAGCTGCTCAAGTTACTTGACCAGTGTGACTTGAGTACGTCTCGCTGTGCCACACCCAACATCAGTCCTGCCACCTCAGTAGTTCAGCCAAACCGGCTTCGGGAATCTAATTCCAGGTAGGTCAGCAAGGGTGGCACCTGCTGCAGACACCAAAGGTTTTACCCTTCAGGGTAGGCAAAGCGGGGTTTGGCGACCTGAATGCTGTAGCTGAGCCCCTGAATCCATGCCCTGAGTGTCTTGAACTACACACACGTACGCCTTGATTTCTGTTGGTTTATATGTGTGCGGATTGAAGTATCATACGAGAATTTGGAAGTAAGTGATCTGGAAGCCCTTGTGTGGGGGTTATGATGCTCTCTTAGTGGGAGTTGCAGTGGTGGGTGGGAGCAGGGCGTGCAGAAGAACCGGCTGCTATTCTCAGCCTAATATCTGCTCTTCTTGTCCTTGGTTGTTGGTTTTCTTTTTTTGAAGCCTCCAATTGCAGCACCACGAAACAATCCATGAAACAGCCACGTATGGTTCTGTGCGGCCATACAGAGAAAGCCCTCTATTGGCAAGAGCAAGGCGGACGGAGAGCTTTCACAGTTACCGGGACTTCCAGGCTTTCAACTTATCCAGCAAAAGCCCAACGGAAAAGGCAGCTGCTGCAAACGGGAATTCAAGCCAGACAGAGGCCAGGAAGGCAACAGCGGAGGGCAGTGCAGCTGAGAGGAAGGCAGTCCTGACAACAGCAGTTGAAGTGCGAGGCACAGGCATGACAGATGCAGGTGGGTGTTGCAGTACAGAGGTTCACCATCTGCCAGAGAGTTCTCTGGATCTCAAAAGAAGAGGACCAGAAGAGGAGAGTGAAGCCAAAGCAGAAAGCAGAAAGAAAATGGGGTTTGAAGGAGCTGGCTTCCTGGGAAGGAAGAAAGTGCCTCTCCTGCCCTCTACACCAGCCCTTGCTGAAGGTGGGCCTGAATTACCTGGTGTGGCTTCTCCATCGCCTACGAAGACAGCTGCTTCACCACGTCACCGGAAGAATGACTCATCCTGCCAAGACTATGGCTTGTGAAAACATGACTGGTGGGAAAGATGAGGTGCAGGTGCCCTCTGGCTGGTAGCAGGCATAACATTACGTCTTGTGGGTTGTTTCTTGAATGGGACTTTGTTCTGATACCCAGAATGAAAATTGTAAGCTTATGAGAAAGGACCTGGCTGCCGCCAAACCTTTGAAGAGTTGTCCACCTCAATGTGTGGCGTTACGTAATGCTCCAGTATGTAGTACGGTACTTGGTCCAAAATACTGTTGTGCATTTTTGCGTAAACATGGTCAGGCATGTGGTATGTTGTGATTATTTTTGTTTTGGGGGAAGGGAGGGTGCTAAAGGAATACTTGATTGCTCAGTGGAAGATGCCTTTTAGACGCAGCCACACATTGCTCTGCAGAGCTGCTGCTGTCTTGGCTGGATTTTGCCTAATTCACAGGGCTGCCTCTGTAGTCTTAAGAATGGAATCCTTGCTCTGTATGCTGCTGTCTGAAATCTGAAATGTTTTGTCCAGGTTAAAGAGGAAGCTATTTAAAATAGCATATTATTTTGTCTTAGTCCAAATAAACTGCCAGAGGAACGTTGCTTGTGCTTTCTGAAAATGTGTGGTATCAGATGATGGGTCTTGCTGATTGTGGCTGAGAGTGTGCGTAAAAATATGCTTGGCAGAATACACAGAACTGGCAGTCTCTTGAGGGCTTCCTTGTCACTTTCTCTTGAAAAAGGACAGAGATGAATATGGGAATAGGTTTAGTGTCATGGTATAATAATTCTCAATTACAAGTGCCTTGACATGATATTTCCTACCTGTGTTGCACTGGCTGCTTGCTGTTTGCTCCTAGCTTACTGTGGGTGGTGAGCAAATTTTATTGCCTGTAGATTAGTAATACATAAGCAAAAGGGAAAACTGTGACAGCAAGTGTTTAATAGGGAGTGGGTTAGGAGGTTTTCTACCTCTGAAAAAGCATGCTTGGAGTTAAGCATTAATTAATGGCTTTTTTTATTTTTTTTTTTAGACTTGAGCCGAGAGGGTGGGGAAGAGGGAGGGAGAGGATGCAAAGGTTAAAGCAACTCTGTAAGAATTCCTTCATTTGCTGTTTATTCGCCTGTGCCTGAACGCGATTTTGTGGTGGAGCTTTGTCAGGCCAGGAAAAGACATGGCTATGCTGCCACGAAGGCCTCTTTTAGCCACATGCTGTTTTTTGGACAGGTAAAAGACTTTCCTTTACCAAACACACTGCCTCCTCCCACCCCCACAACCCTCCTCAACTGTGAAAGTTGGATGAGAGACAAAGATGAGAGCCTCTACCTTCACAGTCTTCTACTACTGTATGACTTAGGGATTTTCAAACTGTTCTCTTACCTTTCTGAGGTGTCAGCGCTAACACGCAGTTTTTACTATACAGTTAAAGAGATGGTGAAAGAAAGGCCAACTTACCCCCCCACATCCCCTCCCAACAAACAGTTTTATCTTTTAATTAGTGGGCATGGGGTGGGGAAACAGCAGCCCTATCCCCTCCCCGAAAGGCCATGCAGGCTGCTTTTGGCAAGTTACCCACTTCCCATTTTCTAGAGAAGGTGGTTGTGTTCTTCAGAGGTGGGTGTCAGTGAATGTGGTGTGCTCCTTGGTGACTGTGCTGAAGCCTTTGATGACATTGACAAGATCTTCTTCATCTACATACTGTTAGGAGAGGAGAAAAAAAAAGCATGTAAGTCAAAGCTGTACCAGACTAAAGGCGATTCCTTCATTTCTCTTTCTTCCCACCCCCTAAAAGGTGGTTCTGAAATGGTCAGATAAATAAGTGCATTTTTTCCTCTCTCATTCCTCCCAGCATGCGGTAAGAACCTAAGGCGCTCAAGCACCTGAATCCAAACCATCTAGATTTTCATAGTAAGCAGTAAGTTAAAAAAAAAAAAAAAAATTAATTACTGTATATATCTGACAAATGGTAAATAAAATAGTGTTTGTTACAGTGTGATGGGGAACTTGGAGAGGTGAAAAGAAAAAGAATACATGTTTACATTTATGTTTTGTATAACAACCACGTCGCCCATGATTTAGGTAAGATTTTGTTCTTCAAGCTTCTAAAGGAGGGTCTGAGCTTCTTCCAACTGCACTCATGCTAATGCATTGAGCCAGAGAAAGAGTTGAAAGCAGGAGAAAAATAAATGGTTTGTTTCCATAGCATAAAGAGATCGCCAGCGGTGTTACTGCAGGTACGTGTCCTGGGCCACTTCAACCATTCAGTATATTAATTTGCAAGATGGACAAAGGGTTGAACAAAACTTGCTGACAGTCCTAAGCTACTGAGTGTAATAAAGGGAAGAACTGAGTGAAAAGCATTGCAGGAGGTTTGTGTGCAAGAGAGTAGCTGAGGAACGCAGGAGCAGAGGCAGTTAGGTTCAGGGAAATGTAAAGCAGTGTACAGAGGGTGGACAGAAGAGCCCAGCTTTGTACATATAGTTGCTGATTTTAAAAAGCAGCTGAGCTCGTGCTGTCAGGGTTGTTTGCTACCAAAAGTGAGAGGATGTCTTTGTTCTCCTGTTCCTACCACTTCTGAAACTCATTGGAGTATTCTGTAAACCAGTTCTAACATACCAACATGCAGTCTGCGTACGGGGGGGGTTGCAAGCTAAACCAAATCGTGGTGTTAGCACAAGATAAGCAGATAGAGCAAGAGCTTCCTTTCTTAGCATTGGGAAGCTGTTCTTTTGGCTGAGATCATGCAGAGGTACGCCCTTGGTGGGCTGTTAGTTCGCGAGGAATTAAATCAGGAGGATGTGATATCTCTGAGAAAATGACTTAAGGCTGAGTCACAATACCGTTGACGCAGGAAGTCCATGAGCTGCAGAGTGCAGGTTGGAAGGTTAACCTGTACCTATAGGGGTTTTGCCTAGAGCTAAGTATCGCTATATTCTTACTTAAGCCTTACCAGCTTCCTTGGTCCTGCTGTTATGGTCTAAGCAGGTGTGGCAGCCATGGTAGCAGCACCCCTGTACTGTGGCATGCCTATACGTTCCAGTCCTTCCTAGCTGTTTGGTTTCCTGAAGGCAAAAGCCCAAGGAAGCTGCCTGGATTTGTGTGCCAGACCATCCTCCAGTTCACTTTGCATTTTGGACAAGATCCGCTCAATGATAATGGCACACTCCATCTAACTTTGTTACTACCTCACATGCCCCTGACCCCCATCTGTCCCCTTTTTAGGAACCTTATTAGCTCTTTCTGGGAGCAGAGGCATCTCGCTGGCCCCCGAACCTCTTCCCACACGTTTGCTCAGGGAAGGGTGGAGGTTAAAAAGCCTGTTTCCTGGTGACGAAGAGGAAGGGAAGTTGCCACTGTCCTTGACTTGAGAATCATAACTTCTTGTATCTGTGTGTTCAGGTCCATGTTGGTGACACTGGCCAATCCTGTCCTTTCCTATATTAAAAGACAGATACTCTGCCTGCCCCCCCCCCCAACCTCCTAGTCCCATGTGGGCAGAGTTTGAAGTCATTTGTCACGAATGCCAGAAGATCTGAGCATTCACACAATCTCTGCATTGTGACTGAGGAGAGGACAGAGAGCAGGTTTCATCAGCAATTGGGTCCAAGGTCACAGAACAGGAGTCACTAGAACACAAGCTCCTGCTTCTGGCACTGAATGTGTGAAGGACGCAAAGACATCCCTCCTCACACGTACATTTGCTGAAATGTATGGAGAGAAAAGCCTATGAGTTGACCAAATAGAGGGAATTCTTCAAGGTGCATATCCCTGGTAGACCATGGAGTTATTGGTTCAAAGGAAACCACAGGCAGCTGCATGTGGACCCCTCACATCCTATAAGAGCGGCTCCAGACAAGAGCGATAGGCAGGAAAGATTTTGAGGATCTAATCTCTGACCATGTCCTTCTAGGTCTTTTGGCTATATCTCCAGCAGCTTTTGATATTTAGACCTTTTCATGATTCTAACAGAACAAACAAATCACTAAGCAGCTGACACACAACAGCATCACAGAGGAACAGGAGTCCTTACCAAGCCACGACCGGTAGTGCGATGACTGCGAATAATGGCATCCCAAGGTGGTTCTTCAGCAAGAGACTTTTTGTCATAGAGGTTGAGCAGCTGGCTGACACTACGATGAAGAGAGGCTTGGGAATATGTGCGACTGAGCTGGCTCTGACTTGGTCTTCTTGCCCCAGATGCGATATGGACGCTATGGTTGCTCATGGGAGAACCAGCTCCTGGAATTTTTGTATCTGCCAGCCCCTACGAGGAAGACACAAACTAATACATCAAAAATAAAGGGCATGGTCTCAAACACTCTATCTGAACAAAACCAAAGCAGGAGTGGAAGAGAACAAACTCATGCTTCAAAAATCATGCAGAGTTATAAACAGGAGAAAAGGAAAAAAAAAAATGGACCTTTCCCCATTGTAGGACAGTCATATTAAAAAGGAAAAAACCCAACCCTGTAAAACAGGACTTTCCTCTCCCTAATTTTTTTTTTTTTAAAGTAGCCAACAGGCAGAGGTCCAAAGATTTTTTGACTACCAGAATGATAGCCCAGACTTGCACAGCAAGGGGATGTTAGCAGACTTCCTTTTTCAGTTATCACGACCAGGGAAAAGACATTCACCCACCAGGAGAAACATGCAATGTAAGATGCCTTCGTGCATGCTCTTTGGGTCACCTGGCACATCACGCATCTTGCAACTCTGCAAGCTAACAACTCTACCTCGAAGTGCATTGTGTAACTTTTGAGAGTGACACTGCTTGATGAATCAGACGTGTCAGCAATGGTCTCAAACTGAGATTAAAGAGAGGGAGGAAAAGCATTAGGGCAGGGCAAGGTGCAACGCAGGTGCAGTCTGTTCCTTACGGAGGGTGTGAATTAGCTGCAGCTCTGTGAAGGGGAGCAATGTAGCAGGATGTGGGGGACTAAGAGAACTGGCAAAGATGAGGCAGTATTTAACTTTTAACTGGTCATCGAGTACCGCGTGGGCAGCCAGCATTGCTTGCCACACAACCTCACTAACAATTGTAAAACACAAGCGATTTTGCCACTTCATAGTAGCTCTATCCTAACTTCTCAGATTAAGTCCTTCAACTGATGCACTGTAGAATCTTCCTTTCTATTAAGTCCATGAGCTTCTGGAAAAAGGAAAAAAAGAAAAAAAGAAAAGACGGGGCAGGAACATGGAAAGGAGTTGTGCAGGCATGCCAACAGCAAAGACATTTTAAAGTCAAGAGGAACAACACAATATGACAGACTGTAGAGGAAAAGGAATCAAAACCATGAGACCAAAAAAAAAGTTTCTTATGCTCTTAGCCTTTGCCAGGAGAAGGGGCACGCTGGAAATCCCATTGTTTCCAAGAGCTCCTTCGTTGAGGCACAGATGCAGCTTCTTGGCACCGAGACAAGAAGGAACAGAATGCGTGAAGGATGCAGGAGTCACTATCCTGCTTGATGGTGCTCACAGGAAAAAGAAGCTGAGAAGTGACAAGAAGAATCATCTCACGGCCTGTGCCTGGGAAGAAGCACGGAAACGGAAGGCACTGCTGCTCCCTTTCTCAGTCTCGTAACAATTGCCATATTCCTTTTGTCTTGCTTTTCCTCAAAGGGTAGGATAGCACTACTACTCTGCTACATGGTGCAACATGTTCTTTATCCATATTTTTTACAGAATTATAACTTGTCATAATAAAAAATGATACAAAGCCTTCCTCTTTATCACTCCCCAGCAGTCCTCCTCCCACCTCTCCAGCGGTCCCGCTGTGGCTCTGTGCACAGATGCACACGCACATTTTGTGAAGTTCCTTAGCTTTTCCCTGGTTGCACTCACTCTCCCCCAAACCTTCCTGGCATGCAGCTCGTCCTAGAGCAGTCCAACTGGGTTGTGGGTGGATATTAGAAAGAAACGGAGCCTCTCCCTAAGTCCTGCTTTTTACAGGCACATTTCATGGATACCTGACAAAGACTGTCAGATTGATCCTGGTTAGCCATCCACAACTGGTAGTTGGGAACACGTGCAAGGTTCCTCTGAAAAGCACATTTTATCACCTACCTTCTCACAGCATGCCAAGGCCTTTTCAGCTGTATTGCAGATGTCAGCTAACGTCAGGTGACGTCAGTGGCTTTGCATTTTCCGTGACTCCAGATCCAAAGTTTGTCTTAGGCATCAGAAGCATTTGAGGGCCTGCAGACCAGGTGCCATAGGGCTCTTTTTGGACTAAGCACCTGTAGCCTGTCTCTCTGTGCCTGCATAGGTACACCAGACAGCCTTTTCCTACACTGAACAGCCTTCATTTGGTAACCGAGTGCAACAAAATGGTGGAAGGAGGAAGAAAAACTGTGTGTGGGTTTGGGGGAGGGGGGCAGATAAAAGTATAACGTGATGGATACACAACATTGCATTTTACCAAACGTACCGGATGGGTTTCACCTGATGAATACACACTCATCGGTGACGTTCTTTTCTGGAGTGGAACTAAAGGAGGTCTGTCTCGTGCATAGGGTTGCTTGTGGACTTTCCTTTGAAGAATTAAGGAGAGAAGAATAGCCAAGAGGATCAAACCTAGAACTACCATCAGCACTGCAAACCACAACTCATTGTAGAATTTTGCACGTTTGGACTCCGCTTTGTCCTTCTCCCCAGGTGTTGTCAAGATCAGACCTGTAAAAATCAAGAGGGATTGGGGGAGAAAGGGAATGTTATTTCAGAAAGCGTTTAACAATATGCTATCCCTTTTCATCGCTAATAAATTAGGCAGAAATTTAAGTAATTTTGTCATCATGTGCTTATTTGCACTTATGTTCAAGGTGGTATAATGGTTCAATATGCTAGCGGGCTATAATAAAAAGCTTACTACCCTCAGGAGACCCTGCTTAAAGTTCTGGCATTGCTGCTCAGGCTGGAAATCACCACTGCATCAGCAGCTCTTGAGAAAGGAGGCAGTGGAGGTGGAATGCGAAAAAAAAAGGGTTCTCCAAGTAACCTTGAAGAGTGGAAATGACTACGGTAATTTCAGAGCGGTACAGACAGAGGACATTCTCTCAAACACTGTGTCATGGCAGGGCTGTGCAGTTAAAAAGAGAAAGGGAGGAAGACTGAACCGAAATGAGTGATAAATTAATACAAAAGCAAACAACATGAAACATTTCATTCCTCCTTCCCCGCCTGTTAGGAAAAAAACAGCCACTTGATTGGCTTTGCTTATACACAACACAAGCGTAAGAAATCTCAGTGACAGGATTTCCTGGTTATTTGCAATCCTACATGCGAATCCAGACTCTTTGCTAAGGAATTTCCATCACCTTCGCTTGCAAGCCTCTACTGCAAGTTGCCTGTGGTGCTGATCGAGTTTGCAGTACACTCTGGGTACAAGCAGCGATCAAAAGAAAAAAGAGGCAGACTGTGGAAGGTGATGGATGTAGAGTAACTGGGGACATTTTATAATGCCTTTACAGCAGCCTTGCCTGAAATTCTGCAGGAGGACGGAGTGAGAGCATGAAAAGGGATATAAGGGAAATGCAGTGTAAAGAGTAATTGCAAAGACAAGGCCCGTCTATTTTAAGAAGCTGAACAAGATGCAACTCAAAAAATAAATAAATAAATCAAAACCAATGTGTCAGTTAGAAACGGTTTGAGCTTAGCTTTGCTTCCCAGAAAACTAAGGAGATAAAATCCTGAAACTTTTTACCGGTAGGCATCTACTACTCAATGGACAGCAACCGACTGGGATTTCATCGCACCAAACTCCTTTGCTTCCACAAAACAGGCAAAGGCCTCACGGACAGAAGGGAAACAACAGCAGGTATTATAAACCGGGTCCTGACAGCATCTCAGTATGACATTCTCATAAACTGCTTAGGGGAACATATCCCAGGTGAAGCTGCAGAGACTGGCTGGTTGGTCATATGAAGGGAGCAGGCGGGTGCCCCTTGCTGGGGTGGGTGGGATGCAGAGAAAAGAGAGGATATGTATTTTCATTGTCAAACTGAGGAGGAGTGTGGGAGGACAGGACTAGAATTCAAGATAATCTTAATTTGGAAATAAAATCTGGAAGAGAGCAGATTCTATTCAGGAGGAAAAAGCACTATGTTTTTGGAGCAAAATATTTGTGTAAAAATAAAAGAAAAAACTATTACACGTCTGGAGAAAGGATCTGAAGCTGATGATGTAAAGAAACAGAAAGCCATCCATGGCAAAGAGGGCACATTACCTACATGCCTCATACCCTAAAGATGCTAAGGAATCCCCTGATCCTGCAAAGAGATGCCATCCTGTCTGGCATGCGCGACACATCAAATTTCTACCACAAACACATAAAATCAATAGGTGCTAGGTAATTTCTTCACATATTTACCAACTCCATCTCCAGCGCTGTACTTGATGACCGGTGTCATGGCGCTCCCTTCATCGGTGATGCAGGTCACTTGAAACAAAAAGGCTGAGCAAAAAGGTTAGAAAATACTGTCAGCAGGAGAAATCGAATTCTGTAGGTGCTGCTTTGTCACCGTGATCCACCAGTAGAGATGGCCAGGTCTGAGAAAAGCCAAGGCAGGCACAGCACATAACCCATCATACCTCACCTGAGTCCCAGATCAGAGCCTCATAATCCCTTACACATGGGTATTAAACTTCTAAACTACGAACCATGGCAGATCATAGGTAGTCACCACTGTGATGTTGCTACAAATTACATTCCTCTTTCACCACCCAAACCTCCCTCTTCCAATGACCTGTAGCTGTCAACTTTCAACTTATTCATCATTTTCTTCTAAATCCATCATACTCCGTTCATGACTGATAAAAAAATGTTAAGAATGTTTGAGTAAAAAAAATATGTATTAGCACCATTGCAGGAAAGGAAAAAATAAATGACAAAATCCTTTAAAATAGAAAAACCCCAACACCTTAAAAACAGAAAATATTTTTTCTTTTTTTTCTTTTCTTTTTTTTTCTTTTTTTCCCCTGTTGACAGAGTTTCCTTTTATTTTAAAGACTGAAAATTTCTGAAAGAGAAACTAGATTTCAAAACATGGCTGATTCCAAGAGCTACTGACTTAGTTCTGCTTAAAGAAAAATTCAGGCTCCAGTCTTTTCGGAAGCTGAAGCTTTCCATGCATTTCCCAGAGTGTAGCCCTGAAGGGTGGAATTGCAACGCAGCTCTAGGATTTGGGAAAGCTCGACCCTCACAATGAGCCAGAGCAGTCTCACCCAGTCGGGTAAAATGTTTAAGAGGAAGCTTAGCTCCAAGGATTTTTGTTTCAAGCATCTGCTTACATGCACTTCAGTGTGTCTGTAGTACACTCCTGTGCTCTTAGCTTGGGATGGCTATGGAGAGTTTTTCTTAAATTTAGCACACAATACTACTAATTTAGCTCACGAGTCTTTCACAGAGAGAAAGCTATTAGAAATTGAAACTGACTTTTGTCAGATGTCCTTGGTAAATACAGCTCAGTGTCAAAGCCACTGTAGATGCGTTGCCCGCTCTCAGTTAACGCGTACTCCTTCAGGCGGCCGTTCAGTACAAAAGTGCGGCTCCAGTCTATGTGGATGGTAGATAAATTGCTGACAACGGAGAATGGAGCCGTGTACCGAGGTGCTGCAAAAGAAGGAAAAGAGCTCATTTCTAGCCAACAGGCATGACTGAGTTATACAGCGCAGAGAAAGAGACTCTGCATGATACAAGCTCTCTCCGTCGCGTGCACTCCCCCTCTCTCTCGTATACATGTGTATGAGTAGGGAAGATACAAGGAGAAAAGAGAAAGCTGCTGTAGCATGCCAGCCTCTACACTGAGAAATATCTCATATCTTTAAAATAAAGACCTAGAACTCCCTTCCTTTCCCTTTGTGTATGTGGTACAGACTCTAAAACTGTATAAATTAAATTCTAGCTCAAGGTGGGGGACAGGGAGACACAGGAGGCTGTACAAGTTCAGTTGCAGCATGCTGGGCTGTGGGAACCAAACTGCTGAGGAGAGGACTCTTTTGCAAGCCCCAAGAAATTGCCCAAGATCATCTTTTAACACAGGCACATACACGAAAACATGGGGTTTCAGAAAAGCAAGGGCAGACAGCAGGCAGAGAGAAAAGAAACCCAGAACTCACTTCAGGGAGGAAGAGTTCATCAGTTGGGCTCAACAGCTTGCTGACAAAAGACTTCATTTAAGTTTGAGGTGGTCTTTTCTTGTGGCTTTGCCATTAAGCCGTGTGCCCAGGATATGCTGTTTTGTTCATAAGAAAGCTGCTTGTCCAGCTGCGCTTTGCTGCTAATTGCCCACTGTCACTAAAGCAAGCCTTCCAGGCAAGAGGAAGGAGACATTCGGAGTGACTCAGGAGACCTGGTGTGAAGAGGTCAGCAAGGCAAGAAAAGCAAGACTGAAAGAAGAGGGCTGCAGACCCAGTGGGCAGGGGTTTAAAAATGGCTCTCAAACCCTTGTGTTCTTTATGTCTCACCAGTTCATTATGAATTTTCTCCATTTAAAAGTTCATTATTATGTTCCAGCTTTTTAGTTTGCAATTTAATAAAACACAGCTTTAGAGATAAGGACCTTTTTCTTTTTTTCAGTGGTGACATTAAAGAAAATCTGGGGCTGTTCCACCTGAAATTTTCAGCTAAGGATGTAGCAGATAGATACATTTTTAGTGATTACTAGGCAGAACTACCAAGTGATACAAAAGGGATTTTTAGAAAGGTGATTCTGAAATCCCGACACGAGACTGTATGATAAAAAGTGAACATCCTCTTTGCCCTGACCTGGCAGGCTGAGGTGAAATGCCCATCTCATCTGTTATGGAATGACTCCGGCTACAGCATTATAGCCCTTTTTAATAAAAGCTGATGTTAGACTACTGCAAATTCAGTTTTGATGGCAAAATCTATTCTGCCTGTAGGCACAGGTCCTGCATGTTAGATTTCCATGCAGACTACCACATGGCCTTAAAGTACTGCCTGTGGTGGTTAGGTAGGTAGCAACAAATTCTTACTTCATTGTCAACAAGGATCGAATCATTCAGATGACATCCAAGGAAAACTCTCATGAGCCCTGGCAGAAGTGTGGCATGAATTAGGACAGTAAGATTGTTCCTGGAGAGAATCACCAGGTCTCTTTCAAGATCTCCACTTTTCCCAGGGATTATTTATGGCAGTGTATTTATTACTACACATCACCCTTCTGGTAATACGTGAACTTTTTATGTTCTGCAGCTTTGCCTCCCATTCTCAGTAAAATAAAAGGTTTCCAGGCTCCCAAGACAGAGGATGTGATATCAGATGGTGAGCAAAGAAATACTTTTGAAGGAATGAGCAGTCAAGCCCCAGAGCAGAATTTCAATGAACGGGCAGCAGAGGCACAGTGACCAGATAGAGCAGGTTTCTGGGGACACCATCTTTCACAGAGGTGGAGAAGTCATTTGGTGCTATGCAGCCCCGTGCATCAGAAGCAGGCACTGCTGATCGGTGAACCGTTTCTCATACTCACGCTCCTTTTCTGTAGTGAAACCAATCCATTCTGAGGCGCTGCTGCCAACAGAGTTGTAAGACACGACTCGCAGGTTGTAAGTCGTGTAAGGCTCGAGGTTGGACACGTTGGCACTCTGGCCTTTTCCTGTATACTTCACCTCAGTTGGGCCAGGACTGCAAACCTTCACTGCTGGCTGTAGGTTAAGGGGACAAGCCATATACACATGGAGCTCATAGCTGAGAAGAAAGTTGAGATTTTGATTAATCAAGAGCCTTAACAGCGTAACAGCCAACCATACATTTCATCCTAATTGCTGGCTGGCTACCAGAGAAGAGAATGGACCTGATCCCAGTTTTTCTCTTGGAGATTTTGGCCCCAACTGTAAGATGCCTACGAGCAATCGTGGTTGTCAGTCACACTCACAGTGAAACTGTTGATGCCTGTTACCTTGCTGCTCACACCTGCAAATCAGGATTTGCCTTAGTAACTACAAGGCAACTGCCTCTTTGCTGCCAGTTGATCTCACAATTTTTGACTGCAACCGCAGCTGTCAGGCAATTACCTCCACTCACAACAACTCATCCTCTCCACCTTCATCCCCCCCAGTATCCTGCTCAGGAGAAAAGCAACTGTTGCGTGTGAACACCTCCCAGATGGGAATATCACCACCAACAGTGGGAAGGAGGAGCATGGCTTTCACAACCGTCCAGTGCTCTCAGCCCTTCCTCATGTCCAGGAAAATTGTTCTGCGACCACCCCTAGCCAAGGTGGGCAGTTTTGGCTGGGTGGCAGGTCCTACCTGGTGACAATGCCATTGGGTGACTGAGGGGCGCTCCACTGGAAAGAGGCATTCCTGGAGGTCACGGTGCGGATCTGCGGGGGGGGCTGCTCTGAGGGTGGAGCCGGCTGTGTGGTGATTTGGGCCATGGGTCCTTTGCTGCAACAGTTGAAGCAGGTGCAGGCCTCCACGCCAATGGAGTATGTGGTAAAAGGTTTTAGCCCATGTATTGTCTGCTGGGTGGCAGTCCCTTCTGACAGCTATAAAAATTAAGAGGGAACTTGTCACAGCTGCAAGCACCACAAGTACTAAATAAGAGTTATGGAGGTGAATTAACTCCAGAAGAAGACGGGCACAAGGTTCTGCATGTCCTTTAAGTCTGACATTAATGCAGCTGTTGTGTACTGGGAACTCTGCATTCATTTTTCTCCCATTATGAAGTTAAAGGGCACTGTTCAAAGGAAAAGACCATGTCGTCAGTGGCCTCACAGATGTCTTGATTGAGCTGTGACCACTGTATGTCAACTTGCAAATGTCATTCTCAGGAACAGAGAAACAGAAAACCTTTAAGGAGAAACTCTGGGATAAATGGTACTGAAGTAAAAAGAAATTAATGTGGAAAATAGCTCCATGATCAGTGTGCTAGCAAATACTCTTGTGTATCTCATAAGCTTCCTCAACATGTATACAGGAGACAGCATTGGGCAGAGCGATATGAATGTGTCTGGTGGGTCAGTTTACTCACAGACAGGAGAATGTGCTTTCTGGTAGGTACCGCTAAGGTGAGGGCCAACATGATGCTGCTCTGCATTCAAATGGCCATGGTGCTGGGCGAGCCTGTTAGGAAACTCCTCTATGCTCAGCAAGGGAGACCTGGCAGTTCTGGCAAAGGAAACGGTGCCTTTTTTCTGAAACCGCTCACAGGAACTGCCACTTCACCTCATTGCTCTAGTCATTTGTGGGTATAGCTTCTTAAGCCAAAGAAATAAAAATATGTAGAAAACACCAAAGAGGTGCAACATCTGCTCCCATTTGGCAGCATGTGATTTAGCAGAGTGCAGCAAAATATAGGAAGGAAAGAGTGAAGCAAGCAGAGGAAAGCACTTGGTATTTCTTGATGCCAGAGCCAGAGACAAGCCAGCATGGCAGGTGTGAGGGGATGGAAATGGAGGGCCATGCAGGCACCACCGAGATGAACTGGCTGAATCAGACACGGACACAGCCAATTGCACTGGAAGGAATAAATGTGTAATGTGCAATCGGTAGGCAGCTTAAGCTCACGGACAGGATTGATGACCTGGGAAGGTGTCCCTAGCACTTCCAAGCTGAGCAAGATGGGATAAAGGAAAAAATCCCATACAAATATTTACCTACTTGTAAAAAACAAACAGATAGTGTTACAGACAAAAAGTATTCAAGCATTTTGCACTGATTTCGTGGTAACTGTTCCAGGCACCTTCAACAGCCCTAACCTTTCCCCACATCGCCCTGTTTTATAACTCTAATGAAGCCCTGCAGGTTTCCTAAGGCGAGACTGGTCATTTCTGGATACCTAATGGTGTCTAGGCTGAGACACCAAACACAGAAGAAGTTGCTTAGCTATTCTTCAGTGCTTTACAGTGAGATACGTCTTACCAACAAGAAAGATTCTACGGGAAGCTCATGTACAGGACTTTCTGTTGAACTTCAAATCCATAGGCTAACAAAAGCACCCAATCATTTCCTAATGGCTGCAGTTTCCACCTGCACCATTTGGACTGGCAGAAGCTGTCTGGAAGTGTTTCGTTTGGACGGTTAGCCACCCCTGAACAATACTTTTGATTCCCATCACATTGTTACAGCATATCACCACGTCAGAAGTGTTTAATGATGAGGGTAGTTCCTCGAGAAGCACATTTAGATGACTGAAAGCGCTAGTGGCGCTTTAGCCAGAAGAGAGCATTGCAGAGCAGTTAACAACGGGAGCGCAGGAGAGGAAGACAGTCTGTAACCAACGGTAGCAGCTTGTAAGAACAAAACTGTTAAAGCTAGAAAATACAAGCTCAAATGGAAGCACAGCAACAGTGTTGACAATACTCACCACCACATCAGTTCCTCTGGTATCATTAGAAAACAGCCTGTAGATACTGACCACCCCATTTGGCTTAAGAGGCGGGCTGATGTTCACCACAGCCACTGTGGACGCCACCATGTCAAAGAGGGGAGCTCCCAGGCCCTCGGGAGGGCCAGGGCCCGTCCGGCAGCGGGACCAGCCGCTCGGCGTCCGGCCCGCTGAGTTTACTGACCACACCTTCGGCACACAAAAACAGAGGAACTGTTAGCGAAGGACTCAAGCCTACAAAACATCCATGGTTAGTCAGGGATGCTACTGCAGCTGTACTGACACTGAAAAAAATGCAGCGCAATGACACCCATGCAAAATGTCCCTGGGCTGCCGCCCAGCACCTGTGTTGACCCAGTGGCTTTCTAACAGAAGAGTGGAATGTTTCCCACTGCTACATTTAGGGAAAAGAAGCAGATTTCATGCCTCAGGCAGTGTGTGTTTGTGTGTCTTCTTCATACCTGATTCCCAAACTCTGAACTCCCACCACTGTCTGTGTCATACCATGCAAAGAGGACTCCTTGAGGAGCTGTGATCAACAGTGATAATGTTTTCAAAGACATCTGAACAAAAATACTGATATCCAGTCCTGCCAGTTTCTCCCTTCTACACACTTTTCTCATGTATGCAAACAGCCCTGATGAATTCAGCCTGGCACTGTGTGACACAAGTTACATTCACCTTGACTGAATTGCACAAGCCAAACTCTAGTTACTCTTTAGAACTGGAAAGTTTTACAGGAACATCCCTCTCTTAAAAATATCAATGTATCAGTCATTTGGCAACATTTTCAGTAACCCATAATATAAATAAAGCCCATTGAACTGTATAGTTAAGTCAGCATCTCTCACTTATTTTCACAACAACATTTGCTTTATTGCATGAGCACAAAGGCAACGGCTTCAGTTCCAAGATTTCAAAATTTAGCAGCTTGAATTAGGCCTGATTAAAACCCACATGTCTCTATGAACTATGCCTACTGATTTTGTCAGCTTCCCAAAACCGGAGTGATCTGCAGACTACATAAAACTCAGCACTTATTAAACACACTCTCCAACAAATCTGCATGAAAATTAAATTTTGCTTTCATCAAGGAGTGAATAAACATATGGAAGGATGTATAATCTTATTTATCAAAAACCATTTGTATAATTAAACACGAATATCATAAAAGGTTGCCTCAGGTCGTCATTTGCATGAGTAAGTAATTTGCAGAATGTCAGGTACAATAGACAGAATAGATGGATGTGTGAGCGTATAGGGTTAAATTAGGCTCAATATTAGCCAACCACATAGTGATCAATCAGAATGATAGATCTAAATGGCAATACAAGAGGACTGTCTGAGTGATTTTTAGTATAAGTATTCCTTAGTAAGCTTTCATGTTGAGCGGTTCTAACTACAGTAAAACATGTTCTTATGTGATCTACTCTGGGCAGAGGTCCTAGGGAAGTGAATGGTGGGACTATGCCTTAAAAAACCCAAGAGGTTTAGAAATAAGAGGTCTTCAGAACTGACCCTGGAGTCCTTCCAGCTTGCAATATTAAGTTCCAAGACCACAGGACACTTCACAAGAAGCCTGGGGAAGGAAAAAGGCCAAAAACCACCACAGTGGCTTTGCAGACAAAATGCCTTCTAATTGCAAACCGAAAGTTCCTGCCCGATTCCATCAGCAACATATAGCACTGTCCGGTGAAACACTACGTAAGTACAGATGATGCCCTACAGTAAAAAGCTCAGCCAAAGCACTTTCATTTTCAGTGAAATCAGTAATATACCTCTGTTGTGAACTCTTCATAAAGTCAAACTCTGTTCACTTTACTGCAGTAGGTCAAACCCTCTACCTCAGTTCAGTTCCAGCTGCTACACAGATTTGCCCACAGTCGTTCATTTCAAGGGGCATATTTCTTTGTGGAAAGAATAAGCCACATATGGAAAGAGCAGCTCTCCGTGTGCCACTGGCATCGACTCAGCACTGACCTGAGCTCAAACGCTCCAGTTATATCCAGGCTGTGGCCTTAATGAGCATGGAGCGTAACGGTGTTGGACCTGACCTGCTGAGCAAGCTGCCCACAGCAAAACTGAAGGTGATGAGTTAGGAACAGAAGCTTCCTCTGAGGAATTCGGCCTCAGAATGGGCCCCCCTAGGAATTTCGGAGGAGGGAGGGATGCAACTCACTTGGGAAGCAGACGCTTCACTGAGAGCCGGATGGCGACACCTTCCTCCATTGATCCCTGTCCTATCATAGGTGCCTACACCTTGTCTTTCAGAAAACAAGCCTTAATTCAGACAAACTGGGGCTCTTTCTTTCAAAACACTGTCTTAGGACAAGGAAAAAGGGGATGCTCATCCCCTTTCATACTACAGCTAAGTGGTTAAAGGATTGCTCCAGGAGGCAGGTAATTTATGTTCAATCACATGCCCCAATGGAGGTAGTCAAGCCTGCCGCCCTCCAGAGTGGGAATGCCCAAGCGGATGACCCATCTTTGTACTCAGGGTGCTCCCTTCAGGGCTGTTTCACTTTGCGTGAACACAATGAAATCAAGGTTGACTGGGCAGAGCACAAGCAAGCAGGAGCAGACATGGTTCCCCAGCCCAGCCCTTCCCCAGGGAGGTGAGGGGGAGCTAAGGTTGCAGTCCATCCCTCAGGCGCCACATGCCTGTCCCTCTTCAAAAAAAGGCTGAGGTCATGGCCACATGTGTGTGGGCCTGACAGACAGGCATGCTCTGAGTCTGCCTTCTAGACAGACACCAGCTACTCAGCCCTGCCAAGACATGTTTCCAGCAGAAAACCTCTAGGTGTCTGTGAAACTCTCTAACGCCAGCTTCTGAGACAGGACTTCTGAGGATCTAAATTCTGGATTTACACCAACCTAATCTGGATTCCCTTAACTCCCTCTGCTTCTGCTGAACCATCTGTAAAAGGATGGATGGGTATAAAAATATTTCCCTTTGAGACTCGCCGTCCAAGTAAGTCCTGGTCAGCATTTGGAGACTCAGTAGTAAGTGCCCAGAACTGACTGCAGATGGAAATGCTGATGTTTAGCCACTTCGTTGCATGGAGAAATGGGACAGCATGGCAACAGAAGCCACAATGAGGAGTGCCTGTTAAAATCAGAGGTTTGGCCATGGCTCCTCAAAAAGTCACCACAAAACGGTCACGGATGAAAGCTTTTGCCTGGCTAGCCTTGTTAAACTGAAATTTCACGATTTGGACTTTTGTAAAAAGCTTTTTGGGCTCACAAAAATTCCTTCTAAATTGTGATATAATCAGCACCAAAAATATTTAACTGCATTCATATAGAAATGTAAAGAGCTTAACAGGCAGCAGTATTACCTGCTGCTTATTAATGTAAGAAGATTATAAAAGAGCACACAGGAACGTGGGGCAAACAGGAAGCAATCATATCTCAGGGATGTCTTGAATGGCAAAACACAGACAGCAGAAAGCCAACAGAAGTTTCTTATAACTTGACTTTCTGAATATACTGCCTCCAAAAGCATTAAGTCTGACATCATGGTGCATGGCTCAGCACCCTGCCAGAAGATGTGCTGCTGTTAATGGCTGCACTGTCCCAAAAAAGCCAGGAGAGGGCTTCGAAATCAGCTACACGAGTTACTATTTAAAATGCTTTATCAATCTGCTGGCCCCTGGCCCAGACTGCACTTTGAAGTGGAGCCAGAGAGAGGGGGGAAACCTCTCTGGAGACCGTATATTCGGAGGACTGAAGAAATCCAGTTAAAGGTAACTAAGCTTGTTTTTTTCCATCATAAATGAGTCTTCACAGATCTCTGCTCCTGGAAGAAACCGGTGATCAGCTGTCGCTTCAAAATGATCACAGGACAACCTCAAGGTTCATCAGCACAGCAAGAAGACGCAAAACCTATGAGGAGCGGGAAGGGAAGTGCTGAGAAGATGGCCACAGCCTTACCACGTGAGCCCAGCCTGTTCAAGCTTAGTAAAGCTGAGTAACGACTCCTTCCATAAAGGGCAACAAAATCACAATGGCCCTCGGGAGTAGATGCAAAAAAATCATGGTATTGTAGATGCTGACAGTGGAAGAAGCCCATTAGATGACTTACTCCATCCCTGAGCCACACAGGTTCAGCTGCTGCAACACTGTTAAAACCCCAGGTCCTTATGGAGGAAGCTATGTTTTAAACTGAAAAAGAAGCTTTTCTTTCATCAAATCGAGATCATATGTGAAGGTATTTACTCCATACAGGAGGTACTACTGGGAACTGAGGGAAACAGCTGGATATATGCTTCCACAGCTCCTCCAATACTGCAGCGCAAGAAAGGCACTAGAAGAAGAAAAGCAATGATAAACTAGGCGAGCACTGTGGCCTCGCTGTGATGAAAAAGGGAAGGTGAAGAAGCTGCCAAAATAAAGCACTCAAATTAACCCCCCTCAAAGGACAAAGATAGTCCAGGATTAAGGCAGAAAACACAGTGTGTGGCCCAAAGTTCTCCAAAATAAAAAAACAATCCCTTGATCTCATGACTCCGATTACGTGAAGAAGCACAACCATGGCTGACTGAGCAGCGGTTTGGCAGAGGACGATGTGCGTGCGCTAACGCCTGCCAGCGCACAACACTCGCATCTCAGACCTGGCTCAAACAATGTGACAGGTATTACGGCTGCAAACGCAGGGACCAAGCGGGAAGTCCCCAAGTGGGAATCCTCCCTGCTCCTGCAAAGGGGAGCCTCGGGCAGCCGACAGCCTATGGAGAATGAGAAACTCTCCCTCACTGGAGAGATCTCGTTCACTTCTGCTGAAGCGTGGCAAGGCAGCAGCAGGCAGAAGGGTGGACTGGCTGGCGGTAGCTTGCCTGTCTGAAGGCAGCAGACCTGAGCTCCTGCTGACTTCCCAGGTCAGGGAGACCTGGGATCCTCTGCTCTGCATGGAGGCCAGATGCTGCTCACCTTTCCTGCTTGCAGGAAATCAGCAGAAAGGAGAGCGAGCCAAACAGCTGACTACAGACCAGCAGGGACTCCTGGCTCCCACCACGTCCTACAGGCACTGTGCATCATACTGCTTCACACTGCAGTTAGTTAATCTGCAGTCCCTCACAGTTGCCCCTCTGAGGGACAGGATCTCAGCTCTGTATGTGGCGGCAGCTTGCACTGAGCTCCTGCAGGCACTCAGAAAACAGCCTTTTGCCTTAAAAAAAGTCTCATTAGTA